GCGACTTCCGGCGCGCGCACCTCCCTCAAGGGCTTACGGGGCCCCGCGCGGGGTGCCAGCGCGTCCACCTCCGGCCTCCGGTCCGGACGTGAGGCCCAACGAGCCGGGCGCGAGCTCTCCGGAGGCGCGCCGTGTCGGGGGCGCGCGCCGGCAGTGCGACGGTTTCTCCACGGGAGTGGAGGAGTCTGGGAAAACAAGCTCACCTGGGGGGCGGAGCCTAACTCTTAGCCGGGAGCTCTGGTTGGCCGGGCCCGCGCCCGCCCCCGCGAAGGAGGCGTGGCCTAGTGCCTTGCGGGTGTGGGCGGGGCCGCGGGCGGCTCGGGAGGCCGATTGGAACCGGTCTCCAGCCCGGCCGGCGGCGCGTCTGCGGAGTCCCGGGTGAAGGGGGACTGCGCCGGGCACAGTGGGCAGCTCTGGTGGTCCCCACGCTCATCCTGGAGCAGCCCCGGGAAAGCGTGGATGCGAAGGTGCCGGACGTCCAGCCCTGGCCCCGCAGCAGGTTCGGCGGGCTGGGCACCGCTGCCGTGGGCATGTATCTCCGTGCTAAGAGATGAGTGCGCCCCCGAATTCCTTCCATGAGGGCGGGGATCTCGTCTATTAAATTATAGCCCAGTGCCTCACACAAAGCATTTATTGAATAAATTAGGGAACAAAGGCATACATTTTCCTGCACTCTGGCTTCTTAAATGTCCAAACTGTGTGTATTGAGTTTGCATTCTTGAGCTCGGATTCCCTTGGCTACAGACCTGGCCGGCCCTGCGAGGGTGTTTGGTGGGGGGAAGAGGGCTTCCTGCAATGCTGTTTGGACTTGATAACAGCAGAGAGCACCCCTGGCAGAGGCTTGGGGGTGACGCCCTTGGTGCCACAGGGCAGGGAGCCAGGGGCGTGCCCAGCTCGCAGGTCCTCCATCACAGCTGCAGGCGGGGAACCCCTGGGAGCTTCCAAAACACCCAAGCACGGAAACAACCGAAGTGCCCCTCAGCGGTGCAATAGATAAACAGAGTGTGGTCTGGTCATCCAGGGGAATGATACTCAGCCTTAAAAAGGAAGGGGCATCTGGGTGTCTCAGTCCCTTAAGCGTCTGACTTCAACTGGGGTTGTGATCTTAGGGTCCTGGGATGGAGCCCCTAGATGGGGTCCCGGCTCAGTGGGGAGTCCGCTTTTCCCTCTCCCTCTGCCCCTCCGCCTGCTTGTGCGCTCATGCTCTCGCTCTCTCTCAAATAAATAAAATCTTTAAAAAAAAAAAAAAAAAGGAAGGATATTCTGACACCTGCTACAACATGGATGAACCTTGAGGACATCATGCTAAGTGAAATAAGCCAGTCACAAAAGGACAAATACTATATGATTCAACTTATGAGGCACCTGAAGGAGTCAAATTCATAGAGACAGAAAATAGCATGTGTGCCCGAGGCTGGGGAAGGGGAGAATGGGGACTTGTTTAAAGGACACAGAGTTTCAGTCTGGGAAGATGATAAAGTTCTGGAGATTGACCAACGTACAATGGTGTGAATGTACTTAACACTACTAAATTGTACACTTTTAAAAGGTTAAAATTAAAAATAATAAAGTTAAAGTAGTAAAGTTTATTATGTATATCATACCACAATTGAAAAGAAAAAAAAAAAAAAAAGGAAGCCTGGCCCCACCCCACCCCCACCGCAGAGGTCCTGATGCAGTTGGTCTGGGGCGTGGCCTGGGCCTCACGACTCACCCTCTCCTAGGAGACCAACCTTCCCGCTTTGCCCCAGACCGAGCGGGTTCCCTAACACAGGACTCCCAGTTTTAAAACCACTGAGTTGGGACCCTACCCCAGCCCTCAGGGTGCTCCCCACCAGCCTGCCTCCCACTAGCCCCCTCCCTCCCTCCCCACCAGGTTAATTTTTCCTGCAGAGCCACTCGCTGAGATTCAGCCTCTGTCACCCGGGCTGACGATTCCTAAGCGATCCTCGGAAATCCCACGTGTTCCTTAGCTGGACACGTGCGGCCCTTCCTACACACGCTCCAACGTCCTCCCTCCTGCACTCCCAAGACACATCCAGAACTGGGTGTCTGCACACCTCAGGCCCTCCCATCCCCACGTCAGCCGCCCAGGGGTACATGTGCCTTGGCTCCCCAGATCCCCGCCCCCACCGGAGCAGCTCGGCGCCTGCGCTCTCTGCCTGCCTCCGCGCACACACCCGCCACGTTTCTCTCTTCCCACCTGGACTTAGAGCCCTGGGCGGAGCTGCGCTCTCTCTGCTTGCAGATGCATGCGTTCCTCAAAAGCTGCCTCTGGTCCAATGGATATTTTTATTCTCTCACAGGACTTGTTATTGAACAAATGGATAAAGCCATTCATCAACCAGAACTGACAAGGTTCCTCGTCCAGGCACTGTGCCTGGTCCCGAGCGCAGGCGTGAGCCAACCTGGACCCTGTCCACGGAACCCATGGTCCAAGGCAGCCAGGTGCATGGTGGCTCCCCAGGAGGATAAGTCCACCTCCTAACCCCTGAAACCTGTGAGTGTGATCTTGTTGGGAAAAGGGGGTTTGCAGATGTAATTAGGGTAATGATCTCAGGCACCCTGGACTCAGGCGAGGCCCTAAATCCAATGACAGGTGTGTTGGTAAGAGAAAGGCAGAGGAAGATTTGAGACTGAGACACACAGGGAGAAGCCACGTGAGAAGGAGGCAGAGACTGGAGGATGTGG